GTTGATCCGCGATTTAGTAAACGATTACTAAAAAGTGATATCGTCGATCCCCGCATATCAAAGATAACATGGAAAAAGCAATAGAAAAAAAACAGACAAAATTATTGAAAAAAAAATATTAAATATGTTTTTTGTTTTTTATTAATTCAAGCCTTGGCGTCTAAAGCCATTAAAAGTTAAAAAAAAAATATGTTTAATATAGATATTATGTATTCAATAAATTATTAATAACTTATAACGACTGTATAATGTATATTATCGTATCTAAAATTCTGTCTGGTAGGTATTATAATATATTTACAGTATATTTTACTAATATTCTTAGGTGCGATACAGAACTCACTTCCCACCCATTTATTTATATTTTACTTAATAATATCCAAGAAATAAATTGTGATGGAGAAGTTTTGGATAAAGACTATGGTAAAAAAACTTAACCGGTAACTATTATTTTCTTTATTATCAAATTCATAATATGTTCATCGTATTTTTGTAGAAAGGTAGCATCTTATAAATAATAATAGATAGCTTTGATAAGTAAAAATACCCAAACACTGTCATTTAAAAATTATCGCAAAAACACATAACAGCGCGTTCTCTCGGTCGTTGTATACGTTTAGATATGTCCACACTAGTGCGTTTTCGTTTTCGACAGTCGATTCCACTTGCTTTTCAACTTGCTCTTCGTCATTCGACAAACGCATGCAATTGCATTTTCTATACACGATAAAATTTTCAAAATATTTTGATTTATTTTGAACTGTTTAGGGACATTTTCATTTTTCATTTTTCTTTAGTTTTTTTCTAGAAATATCAATAAAATTTTATTTGTTGGTTAAAAAAACTTGAAAATTTAATAGACGGCTCCTAGTATATTGTTTCAAAGGTAGATGAAAAATATTAAAAATCGTTAGTCACAGTTTTTTTTTATAAGCATTTAAAGTTCAAAAATTGACAAAATATGGAAAAATCTAAAATTTAAAAATTTTTCTTTTTAAATCTAAGATTTGAAAATCTAATACGAGTTTACTCATAAGATTGTCTACCTTTATCAATAAAAAATCTCTACCGGAAAGTAAAATTAAATTTTTATGAGCGTTTGAAATTCAAATGTTTACAACACTCGTTTTCTCATGTAGCGATTTCCTTATTTTGTTGTAATTCAAAAACAAATAATTATAGATACATGACAATTTCACTGAATGTTTATATTAGCATTTCCTATACACCATACAATTTTGAAAATATTTTGACTGTTTTTGAGCTGTTTACGGATATTTACAGCTTTCACTATTTTTTAGTTTTTTTTTCTATAAATATCAATAAAGTTTTATATATATTTTGGTTTAGTATTGTAACGTGCTACTTCGCGTTACTCGTAGAAATGGAAGTAATAATTGAACAAAACCTCTTTGATGATATCATTGTATTTATTTAATGTAAACAGTGTTATGGAAAATATTCTAAGTCCAAATAATTATGTTTATTGAATAAGAGAGAAGTGACTATGAGTATTTAGTGACTGTTCAATTTGAGGCTGGTTGCTCGTCTGATGAAAGCTTGTCCATCAGCTCTCCTCGATGGGTCTCTCCAGTCCCTTCCACAGATTCACATGAGTACATGACCATACATGGTCATCCTGCGGTTAGGCCTATTGTGGGATTTGTCACCCGGTCGTCGCTTCACGCGCCGGATGTCATCAGATAACATCTTGTCATTTAGTATAACAGCACAAATCCTAGTTCACAGTATTTTAGAATTATTTATATAGGTACGTAGTCAAATATCTATTGCCACGCGCCGTTCATGGTCATGCGTTCGATATTATTATCTTCGCGCTGTATATATGATGTCGTCGCTCTACTACACACGTACTGTATACATGGTGCCAGTTGATGTTTTTATTGGCTGTATATTATATGAATATATACATTATACATTATATAATTAAGTGATAACAATAATTGATAAAGAATCGTGACCCTTACGCTGCCATTTTATTTTATTTGATAACAATAATGGCTATGTGCAATAACCTTGTATATTTAAGCTATGGTGCCAGCGACATTATTATTATTATTACTATTATTGACTTTTACGCGAGCAACGCTCGCGTATTACTATTACCCAACAAAACATATATGTAAAATGATAGCCAAGTTCAATTATGTAATATATGCTTTGAATGAAATAATTGAAATATGTTATCAATTTAAAATAATTAGGATTAGGTAACTTCTAAAATAAAAATAATATATAGGTAATAAAAACAACAAATAAAATACATATTAAACAATACAATTTAGACAACTTTATTTTTTAGAATTATTATTATAACAAAATAAAGAATTGGTTAAATACTGGTTTAATTCTTTATATTTAATTATATAATAAATATAAAATTATTATATAATAAATTATATATTAAAATATTAACAATTAAATATATATTATAATAAACTTATTTGTGTGATTAATAAAGAATTTATATAATATAATATTTAGCATTATTTATAGTAACGAATAAGATTAATAGTGAAAAAAAAACCTAAATAGTAATCACTATTTGACAAAATTTTTTTAGTAAAATGCATAGTTTTTATAAATTATAATAGTCAGTTTTATAATTTTAATTAAATGGCAATTAATAAATGTACACTGTAGCTGCAGTAGTTATTCCAAGTTTTTAAACCAGAATTTATATAATATAATATATAGCATTATTTACAGTAACAAATTAGATTAATAGTGAAAAAAAAAACCTAAATAGTAATTACTAATTACTATTTGACAAAATTTTTTTAGTAAAATGCATAGTTTTTATAAATTATAATAGTCAGTTTTATAATTTTAATTAAATGGCAATTAATAATTTTACACTGTAGCTGCAGTAGTTATTCCAAGTTTTTCGTTTTTTTTTATGTTAAATGGTGCCTGAGCTAAATGGTACTTAATTCTTCCTTCTAATTCATTTTGGGAAACATTCATAAATTTTGATTGACATTTTACTGATTCTGTAAAATAACAATATATAAACTGCTATAATAGACTTATTTAAATGTGAAAATATAACATTCAATTAATATAATCTTACCCAAAATAACGGGACTAATAATCAGGTCGCAAAATTTTCTTTTTCCTTTTTTACCATTATACGAAAATAGAGAGTAAATTGTCAGTAAATAATTTCGTCAGTATTCTCTTCATAGTACAATTGATGTTGTTACCTCCCAAATATGATAAATATTGAACCTAAAATGAATGAAATAAATGCTGTAATAATAAATATTGTACAATAGTTTAATTGATTACTACAGAAAATTAATAATTGTTTTTAAAATTTAAACCATATATAATGTATCTAAAATGGGATGGAATATCAATAATAAGTTTTAGGTTCTAGCAGTATTAAGTTAAACCATTTGTTATCTAAATAATAATTTATAATTTTACAGTATTACTTAAATTAGATACAAGTGGGATTATTATTTTTATGGTTGATGTTATTATTATTATTATTAATAGTACTTCTTTTATATCACATGAAAAATGATATAAAAATGATAGACATTCCTAGTGTGTCCGATGAACCGTGATTTTGTGTGTTGACTGTCGAGTAGTTTAAGTTGTTAAAGTAATAAAAAATTCATAGTATTGATATATTATATTTGTTAATGTTTGTTAATCGCCTGCAGCCCATTAAAAGTTATACAATACTGTATTAACTCTAACTGGTATATAGTATACATACCAAATATTTTTTAAAATTGGATTTTGTATTAATTTTGTCTTCTATATTATTCAAATTATCTATGTCATCTAATGAAAAATTGCACTCTTGTAATTCATCAACATTATTATCATCTACTTGTTTTTTATTATTTCCACAATTAGATTCAAAAGCTTCCAGTTTATTTAATATTTCATTTTGCTTCATTTCAATATGTTTCATATCAGTTCCCAGCAAACACACATAATCTATTTTAATTATACTAAACGTCTATCCGTCTACGCATGCGTCTACAACGTCTACGGTCTATTGTATACACCACAATTAGATGGTTTATAACATCTTTTAATGTAATGTCTGCTAGACCTTATGAAAAATACTTTGATTAGATTATATTAAATGTCTAATGGTAGATGATTTCTAGACAGTTTGTACTAGACTGAAAAAAGACAGATTTAGACATCTATTGGTTTACGATTTGTAGAAGGTTTGTATGCATTTTATAATAGACTTTAGATATACAATTTTGGACATCTATTAGTTGATGATTTTAGATGATTTATAATAGACTGAAAATAGACAGATTTAGACATCTACCCATTGGTTGACGATTTTTGATGGATAGTTTTAAATGTCTATATGTAGATGATTTTAGACATCAGTTCCACGGGCCCCGAGTTTCACTTAAAGCTAGTAATAATATAATATTATTGTTCTATGATAATATCTATGGTCCAAGGTGTATTGATACACCTTGACATATTATGGTCTCAGCCTGCAGGCCGTAACCACGCCCATTTATTTCCGTAACTGATAGCCGCGTCGTTATTTATTATCATCAGCCAAGTTTTATCACAGAATATAAGTTTTATACTCTATAATACGATATTATAGTTTATATAAGTTTATCTTTAATAGTTTGTGCACGAACCAATTCATATTACCTATATATTATTATAATATTAAAGTCCGTGTTAATATTATTATGTTGTCCCCATCGAGATAGATAAACAATATTGTTTATCTATCTCGATGGTTTTCTCATTACTTTGCTTTTATCTGTAACTATTATCTTCAGTGCTCGTGGCTCGTCAGAAAAACCCTGTTGCGTGAAAAAATAAACTGATCTGAGCCCAGTGGACGTGTCTATTTATTTAATTGTGGACGGAATTTCAGAGACTTAAAATACTTCAACATTGCGATACATTCACGTTACTAGTCCTGCAGCGTCAACTTGTCATTGGTAAGTACTTTAATTAGTTAAATTAAAATGCCTAAAAACTCGTACAAACTAGTCAACGAGTTGAGTAGAAGTCAACGATTCCGTAGGTTTCGCAAATATAATGAAAATAATTCCAACATTATATCATGCATTACTAGTAGTAGTAACAGTGACATAACCTTTAGTAATTTGACTAATACTAGTCAGGAGACTAGTAAATCTATTCCAATAACTTCAAATTCAATAAACCAGTGCAACAAATATAATCTTAACAATTTAAATGAGGATTTAGACTTGTCTGATAATTTTGAATTTGATACTTCTTATAGTAGTTCTGGAGATGAATTAAATGATGATGAATGCATTCATAATTATGACAATCAAAATAAACTTTGTTATGAATTGCAAAAATGGGTATTAAATAAATGTATTCCTGCAAATGCAGTAACATCTCTTTTAAAAATTCTTTGTTCTTGTAATCCCTCTGATGTACTTACGCTTCCGAAAGACGTAAGAACTTTAATGAGTACTCCAAGACTAGCTTTAGTCACAAAAAAAGTAGGAGATTATGGGGAGTATACCCATTTTGGCTTGGAATCTGGGTTACGTAATAAATGGTTGAAGTACAGTAAAACTATTTTAAAAAATGTACATGATTTTCAAGTGTATATTAATTTTGATGGTTTACCAATACACAAGAGCTCTAGTGGTTCCTTGTGGCCCATTTCATGTGCAATTATTGAAGTTAAAGATGACCCGTTTGTGATAGGGTCGTATTATGGAACAAAAGAGCCAAAAGATATTGAAGCTTATCTAGAGGATTATATCAATGAAGCCGACTCATTTAACCAAGAACGGTTTATTTTTAAATGATTGTCAAATGTCATTTAGTATTGTAGGATATATATGTGATGCTCCAGCTCGAGCTTTAGTAAAAGTTATTAAACGACATAATGGATATTTTGGTTGTGAAAAATGTGAAGTTGAGGGAAACTATATAAATAACCGTATGAGTTTTGCTGAAATTTCAGCTCCACATCGATCTAACGATCGATTAGCTGCTGCTAGTTATGATGATCATTGTCAAGGAAAATCTCCTCTTGTAAAAATTCCAGGAACTAAACTAGTGACTCATTTTCCGTTAGATTGCTTACACTTAATTTATCTTGGTGCTGTAAGAAAAATATTATTATTATTAACTAAAGGTCCTCTTACTGTTAGACTTTCAGGTGCTACAGTACAAAATATTTCTCATCAGCTTGTCAAATTAAGTAAAACTATAACATCAGATTTTGCAAGAAAATGTAGATCACTATCTGAGCTATGTCATTGGAAAGGTACCGAATTCAGATTTTTTATTTTATATATTGGACCTATAGTTTTGAAAAATATTTTAAATCCCAACTTGTATGTACATTTTATGATCCTGCATGTTGCTGTTCGGATACTATCTTCCCCTGAGTATATAATTGATTTGATTGATTATGCTGAAGAGTTATTAATACACTTTGTTAGGGAATTTAGCGTATTGTATGGTGAAGAATTTGTGTCTTATAATATACATAATTTAATTCATTTAGCTGAGGATTGTAGGTCATATGGAACATTAGACACATTTAGTACTTTTCCTTTTGAGAATAGCTTTCAAATCATTAAAAGAAAATTAAAAAAATCTACACAACCATTAGCTCAATTGCGCAATAGAGAATTAGAGAACCGTAAAATATTACAATGTTTACCTAATACTCTTGACTTTCCAATGTTAGGGAAAATAAATAATGATGGCCCATTTATTTCTGGACTTGTTGGTGATTCGTTTAAATCAGTTAAAACTAAACGATTTAAACTTACTACTTATGCACCTAATAATTGTTGTATTGTTGATGATGGATCAATTGTATTGGTAGAGAATATTATTCAAACAAATGATGAAATTATTTTGGTGTGTAGACAATTTTTGAATGTTTGTGATTTATTTAATTGCCCGATGCCATCAAATGTTATTGGAATATTTTTATGTAGTGGTTTATCAGAACTTATGTTAGTAAAATTAATTAATATAAAATGTAAAGCTATAAAAATGCCAAAATCTTGTGAAGGAGTTCTAGAAAAATTTGCAATATTATCAATTTTGCACCAAAATTCATAATATTGCACATATTTAGCCTTTAATTATATGTATATTTTTATTACTGACATATTATTCAAATAATGATGGTATTTGTATATATTAACATATTAATTTATATATTATTTAGAAAGAAATTAAATCTTTATTTCCCAAAAAGAATTTTTAGTTATAATGGTGTCTAAGGAATATGTAATCTGTGAGGTACAATTTGAAGAGGGGCCCATGATTACCATTTTGTGTTCAAGTTGGCTAGTCCAGCCATATTCATCACCATCATATTGCTTATGGCCTTTAAAGAAAGGGTTATCATCCAAACTAATAAAATGTAAATGTCCCCCTGACAGCAATTGGGCTCGATATGAATGCAAAGTTTTGTATGAATGTGGTAAGTGTTGATATATTGAGAACTTTGATTATTCTGTTCATAATGTGCCCATGATTTTAGATAACTACCAAATAGCCAGAAAGAAATTAAAAAGATTTGAGGAGGAGTCAAGCTATTGTGGTGAAACAACCAATGACGAAGCCAGAGGCCGAGGTAAAAGAAAAAAATACAAAACTCAAAGCTTTTTTTCATCAGATGATAACTTATCAGATGACCAAATACCTCTCATGAAGACAATTCCAAATCCCCCAGCATGGACAAAACAAAATAGTTATAAATAAATTAATTGATTAAAACAAAGTTATACACTTTATAAATATGCATTAACATTTTAGATATCAAAAGCAATAGAAATTTATTTGATACTAACTATCATACAACTGGAAAAACATTAACCAATCCAGGTATGACATTGTAAGATGATACAAAAATAAAAAACAACCAATTATATTTAATAACTTTTTAATATATTTTATTTAAATATTTGTAGAAGTTGAATCAATACATGATAGAGAAGATGTGTTTGGCAGTAATGGTTTATCAAGTAAGCTTATACTTAGTAGTTTTGCATTGACAAAAAATATAGCAACCAAATTTATTGATTAAAAAATAGTTATACCTACAATTTTTAAATATGCATGAACATTTTAGATGACAAAATCAGTATAAATGTATTCAACCCTCATCATCATTCAACTGGAAAAACATTAACCAACCCAGGTATGATACTGCAGTATTTATAACCTAACCAAAAAAAAAAACTACCTATATTTAATCACTTTTTAATATCATCAATTTAAATATTTGTAGAAGTTGAATCAATACATAATAGTGAAGATATGTTTGGAAGTAATGGTTTGTCAAGTATGTTTATACTTACTAATTATAATACATTGACACAATCCAAGTACACCTATCATCTACTTAACCTTTCATATTGTTATTTTAGTGTCAAATGCGGAGGACAATAATGACATGTCTGGAATGGAACATTTAACCAATACTCCAACAAATACAGGTAAACTGGTAACATATTATGGCATTTCTTAGATATATAGAATATAAATTACTACAATAATAATTTACACATTTTAGAGTATAATTATCGTCTGGCATTAAATGATACACATTGTCACTCTCCTGCAGTTAGTAATAATGTTGGAATGACTACTAATGAATCAGGTATAATCTCAACAATTGTTAATAATGCCTTATTATTAAAATATTATCAATATGTATATACATATTATTATTGTTTAAGAACTAGGTATTTTATCAAAAATTGCCAATTTAATGGAAAAACAGTTGAAGTCCAGTCACTATACTAATTGTCTGCTCCAGGATATTTTAAAACAAAATAAATCAACTTTAAAAGATTGCAGTACTGGTGTCCAAGAGAAGTTCAGAAATGTATTTAATAATTTTCCTCTTCGATGCCTTTCTGATGTTGTGGAAATGGAAGAAAAGTTAAAAGATTCAGCATCATATCATTTAATGGTAATAAAATATATATAATAAATAGCTTCACTTTTATTAATCAATAACTTATCGATTATATAGAAAACCAGATTACGACAATGTGGGTGTTCTGCCAACTTAAATGATTCAGTTACATCAATGCTTCGAACCCTTTTTACTGATGAGTGTGCAACGTATTACAATTTTGATGGTAAAAATAACTCGAAAAATGCTTTTAAGGAGTTAACCATTTATCATATAATAATTGGTAAGTCATTTATTCAACATTTTCCAATTGAATTATAAAATTATAAATAATTGTGTATGTTAAAATAGATGTGACTTTGAATTTTCACAAAGATGGCACCGAACACGATATTAAAACCAGAATAAGAACATGGTTGAGATTGGCATCCACAAGAATATCAAACAGACAACTTACAAAAAATAAAAAATAAAAATAGTATTTGTAGACAATTGTCTTATATATAGGTACCTAAATATAAAATATAATGTGCTTTTTTGACTATTAAGTTTAGGTATACCTATACTTAATATAATGATAATAATACAACTTAATATATTCACTGACATTTTACTGACTGGAACTGGCTAACATTACATTATAATGTATACTGACTGATTAGAACTTATATTATAATTTGTATGTATGATATCATGCGTATTTAAAATTTATAACTAATAACTACTAGAATAAAATAATAAAATTGACTCAAATGTTTAAAGTGACGATTAATTATTATGATCTCAATATAATTTGTAGTATGTAATTATTTTTTTAATATTGAAATATTTTTACTTATAAGTACAGTATATATTACAATATATTGTTGTGTTTGTATAATTAAAATAATGCATCTTTATTATTGTCAAAATGCATGGTTATAATATTTTAATAAACATTGAAGGTAGTTTTGAATAATTATTGAACATTATTTGATTAATATTTTATGGCAACTCACAGAAATGTAATTTCAGTCAACTGTAGTCCCAAAAAAATGCTTATAGACAATTTTTCTAGAAACCTGTCAAATCTATTTAGATGTTATGTAGACGTAATTATGTCAACTCTTTAGAAGTCTCATAGATGTCAGAAGTTTACCCAAAATTGCTAAGCATATGGACCAATTCTATAGACATCTATGTTATCTCCATTTAGACATCAGGGATATGTCAAAGATCTATGTTGGTTGTAATAATATGCATCTCTTTGACGTTTTAATAGTAGATGTTATGTAGATGTCTACTCATAGATGTCTAATATCAGTTAGGTGTAGACCCAAAAAAGCGTTGCATATAGACCTATTCTAGACATCTATGTCATCTCCTTCTAGACATCAAATATACGTCACCAACATTTTAGGATGAAGTATATTAGACGTCTCATAGATGTTTCAGTGTTTACTGGGTTTGTAAGTATACAATATTTCTTAAAATAGCTTTAAGCATCTTTGGTGAACCTATATAATAATAAAAAAAAAAAGATAGTATTATTAATTAATATGCATTGTGATACAAACAAACTAAAATAATTTTTATGACATTCAAGAATATACCTAGTAGTTTATCATAATATAGAAATCTATTCACTTTTAAAATATTTATTTAATTTTTTATATACATGGAAAATACTTGTAGACAATGTTGATCAAAAGTAAATTATATCAACAATAATTAATTTAAATAAATAGTAAATAAATTGATTAATCATATTTTAATTTATCCTGCAGTTCATTAAATATGCTTCTACTTTATAAATTATAACGCATGTGCAAACAATGCTTTTCATTTCACCAAATTTTTAGACAATAATATTTATTATAGGTAAGTGTATAATGCTTATAAGAAATATAAACATACCATTATCTTGACTTTTATCAGTAACTGAAATACGGTCAACTTTCGATGAAATAGGAGTATTCATTTTTGTCAAATAACCATCATCCACAGGCATATTTTCTTCTCCAACTGATAATAATTTATCAAAAATATCCAATTGTTTTATTATCAAGTATAATAATTTACATTATTGTTAAATTATAGGTAATTATTAAATATATTTATTATTGGCTTTATTGCAGGTTGGTATCTTACCTGGTTTTTAATAGATGTTGGCTTAGAACTTTTATCATAAGATAGTTTTCTTCTTACGTCTATAAAATTAAATATAATGATAATGTTATAAGTACCTATGGATATAATTTGTCCGTTTAATGAAATATCATCACCATATATGATATATCCATTTATTTAGTTTTATTATAACGCAATTAGCAAAAATATTATAATAGATAAATTTTGAATTATAAAATATATTGGTAATGGCATTCAATTTTATAATGAAAACATTGTTCATAGAAAACTGATTTTTAAGATCACCGACATGAATAATACATAACTTTTATAACTATATATAATAGTACGTCATAATATAATTACCTGAAGCTGATGCTTTAAGAGGAGATGGAGACCATCCATTAGGTTTGCTTTCAGTTGATTTAAATTTCTTTGCAGGAGAAGGTGACAGAAATTGTGCAACATGATTAATAATTTTAGTGTTGGGTTTAATTAATGTATTATCACTTGCTGCATGATTCTCAGTAACTTCAGAATCTATAAATTTTTATAGATATAGGTATATAATATAAAAAAAAACTTATCATTGATTAGGAAGATATATAAATATAGCACTAAATATATTACCTAAATAAACTGGACATGAACTGAAAGATTCTGTAGAATATGGGGTTTTCTTATACTTGAACTTTTGATTAGCTTTATCATCATCATCAGAGAGGTCAGAAACAAATGTTGCTTTTTTTGCTTTCTCTCTGGCTTTTATCAACGACTCTAAATAATGAAGAATATTCAAAATTATATTAAAAAATGTATAAAAATTTCCATTATTTATTAACCTAAATTACCTATATCTGAACACATCTCTCTAGCTTCTAAGAAATCATATTCAATTTCATTTGGTATACAGTTTTTTTCAACAAGTTTATGAAATTTAGCTGTTTTTTTTGGCCATGCACATGTCCCATTGTTTTTGCGAAACCAAAATTTAGGTACAGCCTCGACTGAGTTATCAGCAAAAAAATGCACAACTGAATATTTTGTTGCATTCATCATATTATATATTTATTAAAAGTAT